CCCTCAAGCCGCTGGAATAGAGAAGACCTCTCAAAATCTTGCTTATCATGAGCCGGTTCTATAAAGTTTGCTTCAAGAACTCCTGTGGAACATTTTTTTGTTTATGATAAAAAACATATTCAATGGAGTCATCAAGGAAACGAATAACTATACCGACAACACCACTGCCTTTTGATGATGCCCCATTCACATTGACATTCCAAAAAGGCTGTAATGATGCAAGGGATAATAATGAAAAAAAGTTTATACAATTGCTTCTAATGATTAAAACATTACACTAAACTGCTACATCAAAACGTACCTGAATGAGACGGTTTTTGTGATAGACATTGAAACCGCTAACTGGAAGTTTAGGCGCCTCCTTGATGAATCCAACTTTGATTTCAGTGGCAGCCTGTAATAAGAATCACATCGTCCTGGCCTGTTCTACCATAGGAACAATCACATCCTGCCTGTTCTGTCAATATATTAATATTCAATCACCATTAATACGTTTCAGATTATAATCTCACAAGATATTATCTTAATATAATAATACTTTCTTTATTAATGTAATATTTTGTTTGCATAAGACTAAATAAAAAGATAATATTTGATAATCCAAACAGATTATCCGTGTAATACAGGAGAAAATCGAACGCAGATCTTATTATCAATATAAAACTAAACTGAAAAAAAAAACAAATTAAATCAGATGAAAAAAAAACAAATGGAAACAGAACATCAAAGTGAAATATCTAAAATCCTAAAGCAAATACGAAAAACCAAGAAACTACTCATCGGTTGCTAAATTGTATCGGTTATACAACATGATAGAATCAGCTGCAACGGGCTCATTGTCTTGGTTTCTGTGCCATGTGTAAAGGGCATGAGTCTTGTTCTTGATCTCCAACATAGCGTGACCAAAACTAGCCTCTCTATAGGCTGAGTAACTTGGTTGAGGATCAGAGTAACTGCATGCATGCAAAAACACAAAAGCTTAGTTTTATATCAACTAAGCTAGAAAACATTTTGTTTATTAATGTTCTTAGTACCTGTTGGCAATTCCTTCAATGTTTCCTCCATCACCAATTGTAATGTAGATTGGAGCATTACGATCTTTCACAGGAGTGCTCAAGCCGTTGGTGATGTTGTATTTGATATTGGAGTAACGTTCGGATCTCTCATAGGCATGGACGTGACCAGCCAAGACAATGTCAACTTTGCTGTTAACAAGCCACGACTCAAACATTATCCTCATGCTCTCACCTTCCATGTAATGGTAGTTGTTGCTGTTGTACCACGGCGAGTGAACCATGACAATCAACCATGGAGTCTCCTCTCTATTCACGTTCTTCAGCTCTTGCTCCAGCCACAAGTATTGTGGTGTGTACTTGCCTAGTAATAATAATACGTGAAAATCAAGAGATCTAGATTACAAATATTTAGGGTTTTGGGCTTTTTTTTGTTACCATAGGCAGAGTAAGAAGAGAGGACAATGATGTGAGCAGGGCCACGTCTAACTGAGTACCAAAGTGGAGATATGCTCCCTGAGGATTTGTAGGAGTTAGGGTAACGGTGCATGTAAGGCTTGAAGGAGTGAATCTCATCCTGATATTTACATAATCAAATTAAACCGGTAAAAAAACAAACAAAAAATAATTTAATTAATTGCGACTAAGTGAATCTTACAATCTCTGGAGCATAATCTATCTCGTGATTCCCGGCGGCATAGATAAATGCTTGGTAAGCAGCACAAGGCTCCATGAACCTTCCCCAAGTATCCCATTTTCTCTGGTCATGGTTTGGTGCATCATCTGCGTAAGACAAGTCTCCAGCAAAGAGAACGGCTTGACCTTTAGGGTTAGACATGTAATGGTATAGTGTCTCGTTAGAAGCATAGGTTTGTCCAAGATCACCTACAAACAAAAACAAATGAACCATTACATATCTTTTTGAAAAGAATATTTTATAATTTAGTATTCAAAAGATCCATAAATTACCAATAATCCCGAATGTGTAGGGAACATCAGGTCCAACCTTAGGAGGAGTCGTGAAGTTGAATTGTCTAACGGATTTATTGGTACCAACCTCATAAATGTATTTAGTATCATACTAAAACGTAACAAACAAGAACATAAACATTAAGAATGATACTAAAACGTAACAAACAAGAACATAAACATTAAGAAACCATATAAAAGTAAGTACACATGACAAAGTACACGAACCTCGAGTCCTTTAATGGTAGCGTGATGGAGAAAACCAGAAGTGTAGTCATAGAATCTGTAAGAGGACGTGGCACCATGAGATTTCTTCTTTGCCGGCTTCACATCGCTGCTGTTACTAGCGATCCAGTAAGTAACAACGTTATTACCAGCTAGGTTTAACGGGGTCACCCACGAGACAATCATGGCACTTCCGTCATGGTCTCCTTGCGTTAGATGAACCTGAAAAACAATATAAAAATCAATACAAAATGTTGTTTGTTGTTACATTAAACTGATATTTAAACAAAAAAAATAAACAAAACCTGTTCGGGAACATTATGACCAATGGGTGCAGGGAATGTTTCAAGAGACATCTCAATCGATGGTAGAGCTTGACGAACAAACTTGCTTGTTAGTCCACCATTGATAACAGTGGTGATGCTCAGAAGAACAATGGAGAATGTGAGGAGATTGATTGACTTCATTTTCAATCGTTTGATTAATTCAAGAGCTTTGGTGTTTGTTTGTGATCAGTGGGTTAACTCGACTTTATATAAGCATGAGTCGGATGTTAAGGAATATGCTAATGGGAAGAATTTAGTTAGGAATATATTTTTTTTGAACTGTTTAGTCCGGAATATTAAAAGAATAAAATTTAAACTGAATAGAGATGTAAAAGATTTTGTTTGTAAAAAGTAACTAATTTTGATTAGTTATATACGCTCGTAAGAATAAAATATATAGTTAATTCAGAAAATAAAAGATTCAGTCTCGCTGATAATATATAACCTTGTTTATTTTTGGTGACTTTTGTTATTATCAAATGATCAAAAATGTAGGAAAGTATAGAATATCTTATTATCAGATTATTTTCTTGTTGACAATTAATTATATATATTTTAAGATTTGAGATATATACACCGAATCTTTATACGCAAAATATTACCAGCTTTTTGTATTAGATGTTAAGATGTGGTAAAATATTTTATACCAGAAAAAAATCAAACAGAATACGACCAAATCTAAAATTGAAAGATTTTAAAACTGTAATCTAGGCTTAACTAAAAAGATGCTTTTATAATTACCAATTTATAAATTAGAAAAAAAAAGAGAAAAAACTGTTGAAATGGAAACAGAACTGATTTAGAATTATCTATTATATTAAAACAGAAGTCATGACTCATTTCATGTGTGATTTTTTAGTTTGGACCATCCTTAGAAAGTTTATAAAATTTTACATAACATTATTATAATATCTTTTCATATCTTTAATTTTTATTTGAAATATATATAAATATCTTTGAGAAAATTCTAACAAAATCTTTTAAAAATCTTTTAAAAATCTTTTAAAAATCTTTTAGAATCTTTTCAAGATATATTTTCGAAAAATATTATATTAAAATTTTAATTATCATAAAATATAATTAAAACTTTAATTCCTTTTTGATTTATAAACAAAACTAAAAGTTGTGTAAAATATTTTTAACACTATCCCAAAAATTTACTTTTATATTATGTAGTTTCAACTTAATTTATATTTTACATATATTTCAAATTTAGAAATAAAACAAAATATGTAAATTAGTAATATTATATAATAAGGTTGTTAAAAAGTTATTACAAAAATACAAATTTTATAAATTTTATAGTAATAATAGTATAAGCCACATATAAATTATTATAAAGTTAGATAGTATAAAACATCAAACTATATTTATTTATTGATAAATTATATTATATAATTTAAAATATATATTCTACTAAAATGTAAGTCATGACTTTTTTTTAATGTGTGATATTTTAGTTGGATCTTACCTTTCAAATTTATAAATGTAATTCCCTAAGACTAATAATATAAAACCTATGCAATTCCTTGAATCATAATATATTTTGCTAATTTCATTTTCAAAATTCTAACAAATTTGTTGAAAAAGATCTCAACAAGATCTCAACTTTTAAAGTTTTCTGTAAACATTTTCATTAACTTCCTAATTAATAATAAAAATATTATTATACCTTAGTATATACTTAGTTATCGTTTATAAAAATAATTTTTATCATATTTTTATTTGTTTTATAATCACATTGATCTATCATATATATTGAACTAAATATGATACAATTATATTAATTTATTTATTAATATATTTATGTTAAAATAATATAATATGTTGTCAAAATGGGTTAACATTCTACATTATTTAATACATGTAAAAAATTAACATATCTTAAATTTATATATATATACAACAATATATTATCTAAAATTAATAAGAATAAATAAATAAACATATGGCTGGCAAAAAAATAGTAAATAAACATTTATCTATATGATTAATATTAAAATATATTCCACTAATGATGTAAACATATGTATATATATAAAGAAAATTAAATACCCGCTCGGTTGAGCGGGTCAAAATCTAGTTTTTTTTTAAAAACGTTTGAAACAAATGGTTCACAAATGAACTAGGATCTCATTTCTCCGTAACATGAACCTTAATTTGTTGATTACAAAGACAAATCCAAACCAAACACTAAACCGATTTCATTCATACCCAACAATCCCAGTCTCCATAACCGGTTAAAATGGTTAATGGAAACCAGTGAGCAGAACGTTTTTGACAAGACCCGGAATTGCCCAAGACTCATCACAACTCTACAAACTTCTCTCTTACCTAACTCAAACTACACTAAACCACAAAGTACAGTTCAAAACTAACACACAAACACACATTTTAACACAGCTTACATATTCTTTTCTTCCTCTTCTCTGTATAGTTTGGTTATCAAAGCACTCAATACTTGTCTTCACGGCCTCAAATTTGTTTCAGGGGAACAAACTGCTTCAACAGTTAACCGTTTAAACACATTTGGACACGGATCTTTCCCAAAGTTACTGTTTGATATAGTCACTACACACCTCGCTTTCCCTACACACATCTGCAAATAACAAAAACACATCACACGGTTATAAAAAAAAAACAAAGAATGTGATTGCAATATTACAAGTGTATATCATTTTTACCTTCTCTAAGATATCATATGAAGTATCTGCATGACACTCTCCTTGTTGATAACTCCCACATTTCCCCAAAGGAGTACCAAAGCTTGCAAACTTAATAGCTGAAATAGCCTGACCATTACTACATTTCAAATGAACTTTTGGTCTATGAAACGTTTCTCCTTTCCCATAGCTTTCAAGTTGCCAGTTCTTGATATTTGGATGGTATTCAGAAACTTCAGCACAAACTCCAGATACTGATCTTTTAACCAAAGAAACAGATGATGGGTTTCCTCCAAGCTCCTCGAATATGACCAACAGATTTTGACTAGATTTTAACCATGATCTTGGCACGTGGTAGTATCTTTGTGTTGGCTGACCACAGCCTGATAAGCACTTGTTTTGTTTGTATGTTCCTGTGTAGCTACAATGATCACAGTCACCGTTTGCAATTACCGTCCAGTATCTCCCAATGCTCTCACCGTTCACCCATATCTGACCTTTTCCCATTCCTTCCATGTCCAAAGCAAGTGGCTCGTCTCCTTCAGGTGCATCAAAGTAAGTCTGAAAGACCACAAAAAGTATTTACACATTAGTTCAAATTCTAAACTTGGAAAATGTGTTTGATAAAAAGTCAAACCTTGTGCCATGTTAGAGGTTGAGGCTTTTGTACAGTTAAGGAAGCATCCATCCACCCAATAGAGGGAGTGTTGGTTGGATATGCAAGATTCATAGCTTCACCTTTTAGCCCCACTTGGTATGTCCATTTTTGCCATGTCAAATCTAGCTTCCCTTGAGACAACCCATGCAGTGCAACTGGACCCAAGATTCCAGTGTTCCAAGACTCAAAGTGTCCACCCACATTCTTACAAGTTGAACACAAAAAGGGATTATCAGGACAAAGAGAAAAAGGATTAAAAAAAAAGGTTAAGCAGCAGATACTAACTGGTAATCCAACAGCAACACTCAGCAATGCTATTTTGTTAGTTCCAGAATGTAGATTGATTTTTCCTCTATAAGTGAATCTCCTGTTTTCCCTTGTTCCAAATGCAGAACCTGCAATTTTTATATATATTAAAGTTTGCATATAAGAAACTCTCTAATGGAATTTAATGAGGTAAATTAGCATTATATACCTGAAAGCTGTCCGTTGACAAATATATGAACAGCATGGCCTGTGGACTGAACAATGAGAGTTGGTAACTCTCCACCATGCAAGAATGATTCAGTTTCGCCAATATCAACACTATATAAAAATTCCAAATGTTGGTTTAGCTTAGCAAGTTCTTAGAATCACATTGCAGCTATAGCACATGTTTTTTTTTTTACCTGGTCATGTACCAAAGATAATCGCTTGTGTCACGTGTGACATTAATCTGCTCTAATAGCCCTTGAGTGGTGAATGTGGAGCTATCATCTAGAGATGAAAGATCTTCCAAATAACTCTGCCACTTGAAATTTGCTGTTTTTGTTGGTAACATTTCCATCTGTGATGTTTGAACTCCAACCTGAATATCAAACAAGTGAGACTCACAAATTATTTTTTAAAAAAATACCACAAATTCAGGAAAATGATATACACTTTTACCTTTGCAGTATTGAAGACTGCATTTCTACAGTCAGGAAGAATGCTGATTGACCAAGGAGGTACGTTATAATGAACATTGTTAAACAGTAGTTTTGCTGCTGATTCTGTGTCATAATTTGCAAGGAAAGCTGAACAATCTCCTGATTCTGAAGTGTATACATGAGCCTGAGAAAATAAAGTAACAGAAATTAGTAAAAGGCCTCATGACTAAAATATTAAATCCTATGCAAACCTGTTGGTTGCTTCCTAAAGATGTGACAACAGGATCGGTTGAAACCAGAGCTTTTTCACACATCTTGATAGCTTTGTGGAGTTCTTTTAGATGACCATATTTAGGTTGCCTGATCAAACCTATTCAACATTTAACAACAAGTCAGTTAGTACAAAAAGCATACATATTCTAATGAATTTGGCATTACCATATTCATCAATTGGAGCATCATAATCATAGCTGGTGGTGACAAATGGACCACCGGCTGTTCTTCCAAAGTTAGTTCCTCCGTGATACTGTTCTCAAGGGAAACAGAGAAAGATTGACTTCAGGGAAACCAAAACGTTTAGCTAAAAGGTTTTGACTCTAACATACCATGTAATAGTTAACAAATGATCCTCCCTTTTGTATGAAACGTGCAACAGCAAACGCCAGATCTTGAACTGGTCTATGGTGTATTGGCCCACCAAACTCAGTGAACCTTAAGATGCATCAGTTCAAAGAATATATATAAATTATCAATTTGAAGATGATAATTCCATGTAAAGATATGAAGTAAAAAGTAAATGTACCAGCCACTCCATGCCTCTGTCCAAATTGTTGGCTTGTATGGCTTGTTTGGAGCAAATGAATCACAGTAGAAACCGTTGCATGTGTTTATCTATTTACCAAATTCAATGAGTTTCAACACCAAAACTCAGTAAGTTTATTACAAAGCTTATGTGATTACGAAACTCACAACAGGGTCAGGGGCATCATCTTCTTTGCACATGACCCAGGGGACACCAGTCTCAGTTGCTATAGCCATTTTAGCAGCCCATGTCATGTAGTTGTGACCTTCAGCACCTAATAACTGCCCTTGTCTTCCATACTCATTCTCAATCTACATTCCCAATAAAAAACAAGACACTCTTTCTGTTAACTGATATAGATTCTAAAAAAGAAACATCAATAATTAGAGTATTAATCTTGTTCCATTGAAGTATTATTAACCTGAGAAAGGATAATAGGACCACCCTGGGACTCATACAAGTTCTCACTCTTCATCAGCTCAACTATTCTCTCTGTAAATCCTTGCATAGCTCTCTGCAACGTTATCCCAAGAACAATTAAAATCACAAGTTCCATAACATCTAATGAAATAAATGAATAATGTTAACTTATAAGAGACCTTGAAAGGCTCATTATCTGTTCTGAAGCTGATTCCAGGAACATACTTCAACCAAACAGGGAACCCTCTGTGCTCATTGCCAAAAGACAACAACTGAAGAGTTGAGAAACAGCATAAGTAGAGATAAGACAAGACCACAGAAAGTTTGGTTATTTACCCAAAATTCCACTCAGCACAAACATAAGGTCCAATTCGAAGATGAGCATATAAACCAGCTTTATGTATGGTCTTCACGAATCTCACCAAATCATTTCTCCCATCAAAATCATACTGAAGAAGAAAAAAAACTAATTATTAAAAAAAAAAACACACAAAAAGACAGAACATAATGTACAACTAGGAACAGAACAGAAAGTTACTTTGCCAGGAGAAGGCTCATGGAGATTCCAGAAAACATAAGTCTCAATCACATCAATGCCTCCATCTTTAGCCTTCTGAATCAAACCTTCCCACATCTAACAAACAACAAAAAGAAAGTTAATAACTTTAAAAACAAGAAAGAGAAAGTTTAGGGTTTTTAATTAAAACCCAGAAATAAAGTTTAAGGCTTTACATCAGGTGTGCTTCGAGGGTAATGTATAGAGCCAGAGAAGAGGATTCGTCTCTGTCCATTGATGAGAAGTGCTTTACGGTCATAAGTAACACCACATTGAACAAATTCAATGCCAAGAATCAAGAACCCTAAGCAGAGCCAAAGAATCAGTCTTGGAGTAGAGTCTTTAGTCCTCATGTCACACATTAACATTCAAGAGACTACACAGAGAGAAGAACAAGAAGAAAGAGTTAAGATAAGTTTCTTCTTCTTGTGGGTTTGTGTAGCTCTGTGAAGAAGAAGAAAGAGAGAGGAAGAAGAAGAGGAAGGAGAAGGGTTTTTATTGCACTTCACAAGTGTTCTGTTCTACTCGCATCAACCAACACTACGTGGTCGTGAGCTACCGACGCTTTCCCACCAATTTATTAAATTTTTTATAAATAGAAAATAAAGATTAAAAAGGAAAGTCAGTGATTATGATATTAGCCAAAAAGGAAAAAAGGAGGCACGTTTGATTGGATTAAAGCAGCAAATCACGCTATTTTTTTCAGTTGTGTTTTTTTTAACCTTTTTTCTTTTTATTTTTGTTTCGTTTATTAAATACTCTCTCCGATTCAATTTAGTTATCTTTTTAGGTTTTTGCACACATATTAAGAAAACAAGTAATTTTATATATTTTCAAAATAAAACATTATTACATATACACCTAACCACTTTTCAACCAATGAAAAAATAGAATGACTTTTAAAATCAATAAATTTTGCATTGAAATAATAAAACAACACTTATTTTGAAACGAAAATTTTACTCTAGAATAACATTTAATCTGAAACGGAGGGAGTATTTATTATGTATTGTTGTGAGTTTTGATGTTGAAAATGGATTCACATTGTATATGTGTCTTCCACTTTCAAATGACAGTGTACCTGTCACTTACATATGTACAAAACTTTAGCATAATAAACTCTCACCAATTAACATTATTCCAAAATGGATTCTGTCGTTTGTTTTGAAGTATGTAGTTTTTTCCCCAAAAATAGTTATATAATGTATACAAGTTAATTGAGATTTTTTAAGTTATGTTCTTCTTTAATATGGTTCATCAAAGTGTTTATGATGGTAAAACTATAAGAAAGTTTACATATCATGTGTATGCTGGATTTTTTAAAAGGCTGAAATCTACTAACAATTATATAACCAAAATCAATTGTTTCAAACTTAGTTTATTATGTTGCCTTAGTATAGAAACACTAACATCATTAAGGAAATAAGAAAGCAACCTAAGCAGTAATATATATTGCGTTTTACAACATAGTGATCACTTGTTCTTATATTATGTTGCACTAGTATAAGAAAACTACTAACACATTATTTGTCCAAAAAAAAAAAAAAAAAACTACTAACACATTCATTAAGAAGGCAACCGTAGCAATAAGACATATTGCACTTTACAACGTAGTGATCACTTGTTCATCCGTTTTAACACAATAAACTGAAAGATCCAAGATCCCAGCTTGTTAAGAATCATTTAATATTTTTCCTGCTAATTTTTCTGCATATGTTATACTACTCTGCTTTTTTTTTTTTATGTTGTAGATTTCTTTGGAGAACAGTTATAAATTTTGGGTTCTTGGATCTGGTGAGAGTTTGAATCCATCAGCCCCACTTGGGATTAATTAAGAGATGCTTTCTTAATCAAGGGATTAGCAGTAAAACAGTAACTGTGAAACAAGTTTATTTAAATCACTTAAACATGTAATGACGCTTCTCTCTTGTTTAGATGGTTCAAATTCCAATTTGACACAATGTCATTTGACGCTAGTAGCCTAGTTACTAGTACACCGACACTAGTCTTGCGTTAATGGGGTTGACACGTGATTTATTCAGTCACATTATCATGTTTTATGTTGAAGTGGTAGTTGGATTTTAGTTAGACAATGACCAACCCTATTTTCTATAACATTTTACTTCCCTTCCAATATATCAAACGATTGATTAAATATCTCACCACTGATTAATTACATGTAAACGCAAATGTCGTTTAGTCTTAGAGCACCCACATTTGTAAACCCCCCTTGGGGTTCAATTTTAATATTTTTTTTTTTTTCGTTACTTTTACAGAAAAAAAAAAAGATTGGACCAATTGTGGGCCGCCACGTGGCGTGGGGCCCACGCAAACAGTGATAAACCGGTTCAGCAGAGAGAGTCTCCACGAGCCAGGTTCACTACTTTTGTATTATTTTAATATTTTCTCTCCTCGATTTGCGTGTGAATCCCTTGTAAAAATCGCTAATGTGGGTGTGCTCTTAGGTGTAGTAGTATGGTGCTTAAGAAGGGGACCTACCTGTATGGTTTTGAACGGGGATGGACTCTTTGGCACGTGGGAAAGGCTTCAGTGCACGTTTCGAAGTGTCTTGCATGAGTTCTTGTCCTCATATGAGCCATGAACCCACACACACACCGTCGTTTCCTTCCGTCCATTTTCTTCGACTCTTATTGGCTTGGAAGTCTCGTGAAACCACAAGACTCCACACACCGTTTATTACTCCGTTACTCTTAGTTGTTCTTTTCTTATGGATTCTACAATTGCATTTTTAGAGGGAGAAAGACTCTTCTCACACGCCTCTAACCTAATTGAGATTATGTCTGTCTGATTTTCCAATCGTTTGCTTGTTCCCAAGACATATATATAAAGTAGATTTTCATTCTTGTACGTTCAAATCTCGATCTCTGTAACGCTAGATTTATATTCTCCATATCTTGAAGCATTACTTTTTGTTTCTCATTTTCCTAAGAGCATCTCCAAAATACACTCTATAACACTAAATATAGAGTTTTTGGTTCTCCAAAAAGAAATTTCAAAACTTCAAATTTGAAGTTTTGGGGAGTAAAACTTCATATTTGAAGTTTCAATTCTCAAAACTTCAAATTTGAAGTTTCATCTTCTTATTTGCATTTTGGTCCTTAAAATTAATTATATGTTATATTTATGATTTTTCAATATTTTCTCTTTAACATTTTAATCCTTCAAATTTTTCTATTTTATAAATATTTCAGATTTGTTTTTATAAACTTAAGTTTTATACATAAAACTTTAAAAGAAAATTTATATTATTTTAAAACTAAAATTAGACTTCACGGATATTATAAAAGAAACTTAAAAAGAAACTTTAAAAAATATATGAAAGCATAATTATTACATAAATTTAAGTATTACAACAATATTAATAGTATGGTAAATTTTCTCTGAAACCTTCAAAATCTCCAAAATATTATTCAAATAAGTATTATGTAACTGAAGATGGAGCATTATGGAAATAATATTATGAAATATGTGATATTTTGTTTGTATTTATTATTTAGTTATGTATTTTTATTTACGGTTTTATATTCTAGAGTAAATATTTTTTAATTAATATTATTTTTACGTTTTTTCATATATGTGCTAGTTAATATTAAAAATGAATTTATATTAATTATGAGAAATATAAGGACCATAGAATAAAATACAAACAATTTTAAAGTTAGTTTTGAAGTTTTGTTTTTGGAGAAGAACACATTGAAACTTCAAAAATAGAGTTTTGCAAACTTTAAAATAGAGTGTCTTTTTGGAGATGCTCTAATAGTACAATCTATTAACATATCTTTAGATAAACACACAAATCTGCTGTATATTTCGACAGCAATACTTGGATCATAATATAACATCTCACCTAGTAATAATTACCAGTGGTAAACCGAGCCATCTAAAATTTTAAATTTTTTTGAGTAATAAACTTAATTTTTTTTTAATAATAATTTGCTTGATTTCTATGAAAATTTCCCTTTCAAAAGATTTTTTTTGTAATGCATCTGATCAAAATATATCCTAGATCTGCCAATGGTAATAACTTTGTATACAACAAAATAATGTAACATTGTAAATATGTTAAAGTATCACTCTCTATTGCATATGAAAATGCTTGAGAATCATCCGTCGTATGTTATGTCATGCAAAAGTGAAGGAAGGTCGGCAGCCTATCTTCATAATATAATATGTATTGCTTTATCCCTGAGTATAGCTTTTACTATTTATGGAAAATTAAAAAAGAAGATGTTAACCAAACTATATACCTGATGCCATTGGTTTTGGTGCTGTTGAGTCAACAGTGTTGACAGAGCACGGTTCTAGCACTAGGGCTGTTATGCAGTGTCAGAGTTGAATTTGTAAAGGCATTATGAATTAGTAATTTGTTATATCTACTTGTATAGTTTCTTAATCCCCAAAACTTTCCGCTAAAGAAATAAAAAGTTGAATTTTAAACTTTAAACAAACAAGTTCAGTCATTTACAACATTATGGAAGTATAGTAATTTGTAATCATGAACTATAAACATAATAATTGCTTAGACATGTCGTGATTACAACAAATTCTAATTACCGTTATAGAAAGATTTACCGTTGTCCATTGAGCTCTTCATCTCAATCAAATGATTGATTTTCTTGTTGTTGACTGAATCTAAAAATTTTGTAAACGAAACTTTCGTGTGAGTTATATCTTCCGACCTTGCATTATATATACATTCGTTAAATAATACTATCGTAACAACATTTATGGACCACTAGCTAGAGATACACATATGCAATGTTACCAGTTACCACACTTTGCTTCACAAATAATAATTCATCATCTACTAGACTACTACACATGTTTGATTCAATCATAGATTATATATACACCGACGCCAAAGGATGAGAGTCATTTGTGTTTCACTGAAAATAATTTAATATCAAAATAATTCATTTAATTGCGCATGTAAGTTAATACATTGTTTTGCCGACTGCACAAAACATGCTCTCATATAGATAAAATCATGAAAACACAATCACTGATTTGCTATAATAACACACATACATTGGTTCATCTTTGTTAGACAAATGGCTTTGAATGAAATGATATAATAACGGCCATTAAGGAGACTTTTGCTAATGAGCTTAAGTGGAGTCATTATCATAGGCACATTACATAATTTAGCGGAATATTGCAGCCCATTATCTTTATTATATTTCCTCGTATGATCCGTAATCAAATATACGTAGTTATTTAACATTAACTCTAACGTTTGTCGTTTGACCATGAGAAAAACATGATACAGACGGACCATGCCGTTGATTCGTTGAACATAGTAATCGAGACCGATGGTCTAATTGACTATGTAAAGACTAAAGAGGCATACATAAGCACGTAGCAATAATAGCATCTTTCTTGTCTATAAATGTTATACATTAACGCTAACCATTATCACTTGGGTTTACCGATGCGATTGGCTTAATGTAAAATTAATTCTTGACAACCTTAAACA